CAAATTCCAGCAGCATGCCTTCCTTTCCACCATGCACCAGGACAAACTTTATAAGCCTTGCTTATGATTCTAACCTGGATTTATGGCTAGGCTTTGGGCCGTTCCAAGATTTACTTTACTTTCTTTACTCTTAACCCTCCTTTTATAACACCAACTGTATGGTGATGATTAAAAGGTGAACCTCTGCTTTGCAGAGGCGTAGCCGGAAACCTTTTCTAAGGGTGGCCAGCAATAATCAATGTACAATGAGGGGAGGCTGGAAGTGGATCGGCGCCAGAATCTCAGGGTCAATCTACAGTACACTGTTCCAACAAGAAAATTAACGAGCACAATGTCTCTATTTTCTAAATGAAGACAAACTATCGGTATACTTTCCTACAGCCTTTGCTAACAAATAAACACATATTTTTAAACATCAGTCTAGATAAAAGGTATAGTGGATAAAATTCTTTCGGGTTTGAGTTCTGGGGCGAACATCTTTTTCATTGTAATTACTTACCTACTTTTATTAATAATCATTCTGCATAAAATTTATATTTAGAAGTACTAATATCCACATAAATTGGATTATTTAATACGTTTTTGTTAAAATTGTTATTTAAATATGATTTCACTGAAGACTCCTAGATGACTTGCAGAGACACATCATTTTCTCTTTACCCCATAACACATCTAGTTCTGAAAAGAGCATAAATTCTTTATTAATCATCCTTAATGTTAGTATATTGATTCGCATCATTAATCACAGTGTTTTTGTCAAGTAATTGTTAATATATGACAAATTTGAATCTTCAGAACACTGAACATTCAAATTTCCAAATTGCCACAGGGGTGGGCAATGATTGGCTAAGGGTGGCCAGGGCCACCCCAGGCCCCCCATCTAGCTCCTCCCCTGCTGCTCGTTGCTCAAGTTTTAAACAGTCTATTACAGGTGTTCATCTGGCTGAAATTTGATTCTCATCATCCATGACCAGCTGTTCCCTACAAATTAAAGAAAGGCTTCCTCCCAGCATGATGCTTCCATCACAATGTTTCATCATTGAAATGATTAGTTCAGGGTGCTACGTAGAGTGGTTGATTTATATGCAGAGGAAAAATGATTAAACAGCTGTCCTTTCAACAGCATCGCCCCTCTAGACTTACCATGGGTTTTAATTGTGATTATTAGGAGTGCCCTGTGAGCTTGAGGCATTGTTTTACAACCCAACCCTACTTAAAGCCTTTACCTGGACTTTATCCAAGATCTCCCTTGTTTATTATGATACTCTTGGTCAACCATGTTATTCTAAAGAACTCCAAAGAACAGCTGTATTTACACTGAGATTTTATTTCACACAGGGTAATGATTAAGTCATCTAGGAATGGTTTTGCAATAAGACAATCAGATGTGAATCAGGTGAATCCAAATGAACACCACATGTTTTAGCTGGCCTTTTTTCCACATAACCCCCTTGCATAAATTTTTTTATTGTCGAGGCTTCAAAGTGCCAAAGAGACAAGCTGTAACAGATAGCAGAAACGTATAGAGGTCCCCATCAGTGTCTTTGCTTTTTTAAATCTTGCTCTGTTCATTAAAGATGTATAAACGGATATATTTTCGATGAAACCGATGCCTTATTCTTGCATCCACCCTCTTCTGTGGGTTTACCAGGCAGCTGACTTCCTGTAAGCTGAATTTCTGATATATCTGTATGTAGAAGTGTGAAAAAAGTCATGAGCGTGAGAAATGTTAAATAGTAACAGCTTCTGCTGAAATGCCTGACTGAATTTAGGCTGATTACGTGACAGAAGGATATGGAAGGGGGAAAAAAAGGATGCTAGACACTAACATATGGCATAGATAAAATAATGTTCTGTCTGTGAAATATTTTGAAAATCATGCATCGCTTTCCTTTCACTTTGCAATGGTTGCCTATTTTGGGGAGATCGATTACATGAGCTCCTTTGATGTGCTGAAGATTGAGGATGTTACATTTCTCAATGCTGAAAAGTTCAAGGGGTACTTGATACTTACTTCTGTAAAGTACTGAGAGTTTTCATGACAGTGTTTCTGTAGATTTGGACCTGTGAAGGAGGGTAAAGATGTTTTACAAAAATTAGAGCTGTGTTTAAAGAGGAGCTACTGGGCCATGCGAGATCTTAACCCCTAGAACCCTACGGACCCACCGGTGGGTCCAGTTGCTACGTGACCTCGTAATTTTAACAAACCCCCAGTATTGATGTAAAAAACACATTTGGCACAGTTTGGTGACATTTTTGGATAAATGTGCCAAAATGGCCTCTCCGCCTAAGAAATTTTTCACTAATACCATTCTAAAATAAATATGATTCATCTGATTGAGTCCAAATTTGGTATATTTTTACACAACATTTAGATTTAAAAGTCTGAACTACTTTTTTGTGCTATAAATAATATTTTGGTAGTGTTTTGCAATGTTTATTTCAAAGAAAATTTTGGCAAGGTTCAAAAAATGGAAAATATGTATTTTGTCCCTAATATTTCAGGCAGGGTCAAAGCTACAATGGTGCTGACACCAGAAAACCATTCTATGACATCTTACCTTTACAGAGTTTACAAAGTGTACAAAGTTTCTTCTTAAATCTAATAGCTGTGAGGCTATAAGTGATTTACTTTTGTGTGTTTTTGTCAGGCAGAAATGTATTTATACCCCCTGAGGGTGTAAGAGGTTAAGTATTCACCCTCTGGGTCTTTTGATTTAGTTTGACTTTTTTCAATGTATTAATTCAAATATCTTTTTTTCAGAAAATTCTAACCTCCCTATGACTTTTTTAAATTCACACTCAAACATCAAACCGAGGTACAGATATGTCATTCTTATTGGGAAGGAAGCTTTTGTGATTACAGCGCCCTGTAAACGTCATTATTTCATAATTTGGCTCATGTCCTAACAAAGGAATTTAGGTTTGCTGCCTCAGCTTGTTTAATTGGATCATTATTAAAAACGTGCTTACGTGTGCACCACAATGGAAAATAAAACATGCTGTGGATTAATAAATAGTCTAAAGTCAAAACATTAAGTACTTATTTCAATATCAGATTAAATAAGTTGAAAAAGCAGCTTGCTATGTGCTTAACAATTCCTGGGACACTTTGTGTAGTTGCTCTTTTTTTTGGCTTATGAAAGTTTAAGATGTTTGATATGAAAAATATAAAATGCTGGGCACACCGAGTGACAACATCTGAAATAGTTTATTGCTTATGTCCTCAATTTCAGTACTGTCTTAAGAGCTGAAGAACAATAATTTGTTATGAGAAAGCAATGGACTGGCAAAGTTACTCTACTGCCCCCTGCCGGTTTAAGGTAGAAGTGTTATACCATTTCATTATTATATTATATATTTTTTTCTTTTTGCATAGTGATAATGATATATTAAAATCCATTATGTCATCTTCAAGTCTTTATGAGATGGTTGGCCTCTGTATTTATAAACCTTTTTGATCTTCCTGGTCATCTTACCACCCCTTGTTTATTTGAGATCTTACAATGAATTTTGTTCTATTGACCAAATCATCATCTAATAGATAGGCATACATATGACCAGGTAGTGATCTTAGCTGCTCCTTTGCATTTTGCTTTACAAAACAGAAAATATGTATTTTCCTTCAGATAATTTTAGATTCTAAAAGTTTACTGTCTGTTTGATGAAATTTCAGAATTCAGTCTTCTTAGGTAGAAGTTGATCAGCAAAATATATCTTTCCTAGATAGTATTTTCCCACCTTGCCTTGAGAAAGCTTACCAATTCTTTCAGATCATATTTCCATATTGTTCTTCATATAACCCTTTACATTTTCTTTCACTGCTTAGCTGCTGCTCATTCACTGTCTAAAAGATGTATAAACACAATTTCTTTTTGTATACACTTATACATAAAGTTTGTCTAAGTCATATCTAGTTATTTCTAATATCATAAATGTATTCTTTCTTTTTTTTTCTTTAATTATTGTAGATGTAGGCTCCATGGCACACACTTTGGTGCTAACAAATAATAATTAAAAAAAATTGTACACTTCTTCTGAGACACCACATATTTTTGACAGCTTTTATTCTCAGATGTGCTGGGAAAAATAACATCCAGAACAAAACTAATTCCAGATCATGATGCAGAATTCTTACAAATTATTTTAGTGGTACTTTTACCTCTTGACAGTCTCTCAGACCAGTTCCTCTCATGTGTTTTCATCCATTTTGGTGAGACTTTATACTAATGTATTGATTGTTATGTACAGCTCACCATGGTGAAATCATGCAGGCACAGTAGAAACTGCCAACTAACTAAATACAATCATATAATGATAAAAGAGAAAAAGAAAACAAAAACACAAGAGATTTTTTTTCTTTACATATTTACGTTTAAAATAGAGCAAGTTATGAAAGGTCTCATTCAAATAAATGACAAATGAAATCTTTAAACAAAAAGGTAAACAATGATAAAAAAAAAAACTCAAAATAAATCATGTCAGAAATTTATAAAACAGTTTTTAGCTTAATAGAAATTTATACAGAAACGAAAACGGAGTTAGGTATTTAAAAAGTAAATTAAAAAAAATTGTTTACACAAAAATCAAGATCTCAATCAATGGTAAAAGTAATGCAGAGAAAAACTATGATGAAAGGCAGCTTTTGGAACAGTAATAAAAATAGATAATCATTTAAAAATGTCAAGTTTAGGGAACAGGAAACTTTAATTTTATAAGTCAAGTTAGGAAATATGTTAAGCTTTAAAAGACAAACAAACATGAAACGTTTTTTTCTTTTTTTTCTTTTCAGATATTGCAAATAATTCCAAACAGTAATTGTGTCATTACTAAGGAATAGCTAGATTTAACATTTAAAAACATGAAACAAGCCAAGAAAATTTGACGTTTACTTCTTTTTAAGATAATTTTTAAAGGTATGTATAGTTTTATTATTAAATGATAAAGAACCTATTTTACTGTTTAATAACCCCAGGCCAGTAGGGGGCAATAATCCTCCTATATGCTCGTTCTGAAGCGCTTAAGCAGGAAACAGAGGAAGAAGGAAGATTCGTACTTCTCACACGTGAGTTCTCATTTTGTGTTTGTTTCCCTTCTTAAATGTGTCTATTTTATGGAAATACTAGATAAGTGCTAAGGACGCGTGGCAGAAGTTTGCAGGGGAAAGCAAAGGAGTTCAAAATGCGGAGAAGAACTGAAAATAAAGGAGTCCAGGGAAGAAGCTGAAGGGTGCTGCAACTATGGCGGCCCTCATACAGTTAACCATGGAGGATGTGAGGAGAGAAAGAAAGCGGTGGAAATGATAAAATAACCAAAAGATAGAAGCTACGCAGAAGCAGTGAAGAGAGTTGAAGGACAAAAGAAAGGAGAAATGAATTAAGCACAAAGTCTGGTACATATGCAAAACAAAGGAGAAAGAAAAGAGAATTTCACTCAGACACTAGAAAAACTCATTTTATTCAGAGTTTATCATTAACTGCACACTACAAGCCCAAAGATGTTCAGGTCGTAAAGAAGTTAGTTGGATAAACATAAGTTACAAGGTTGGAGATGGATGGAAGGACAGGAGCATCTGGTTATTATTTCAGTCTTAATAATACAAAATAAATTGAGATGTTTAATAATAAATGGATAATGATTGAATGAATATATGGTTAAATTAGAAAATGTAATACAATTGATAGATAAAAGGGACAGTAGATGGATTTAGTTGATTAAATTAAGAATAAAACATAAAAGTTTAGGATATTGTTTATAATAAATACTATTTATATCAATTAAAGATAGAGTATAAGCAATTATTATATTTAGGATATAAATGTTAGCTGGAATACTGTCATTTTGTTCTATGATCCATACTGTTAGGTGGCGGTAATGCATATTAAAGTAGTTTGCCAACCGCCAATAAACTTCACAAATAGGAAGACATCTCAGTTCAAATAATGTATTAACTTGTTTGACAAAAATCTTGCCCCTTTTTTCTTGCTCTCTCATTTAATCTGCTTTAGATGTATTTAATCTGTAAAGAATTGCTAGCTCAGGTGAGAGATTAGTCTTTAGAATGTTAACTCAGCAGGAATCCAGTAAAAACTGGAAATGTACAGATAATAAAACCTTATAAATACCAAAGTTGTTGATTCTCCCTTTCTAGAACAGCCCGTCTGTTAATGTCATATACCTAAATTTGATGTGAACCTATCTCTATTTCATCCAGGGATTTAGACTGATCATCTGATCAGCGTGTGCTGAGATCCTCAAAGATGCTGGCTAAAGTGGGAGAAGCTGAGCTGCAGAAAGGGGCAAAGAAGAGGAAGCTCATGGCTGAAGATGGAGAAAGAGGAGAGCAGAAGAAGAGACATTATGAGGAAAAAAAGAGACCAAAAGCTCGGGGAGACGGTGGAAGGAACAGACTGGATGCTCTGAGTGTTGGCTACTTCCGCCGAGTTGGAGAAAGACTGAGCGAAGGCTTTGAAGATGACGAGGAGAGAGGTGGGATGAACGGGTTCTTTGAGGGGAATTAGGTGTCCGGAAGTGAAATAAGAAATACCATACTGTGACTCTCTAATTCAGGGTTTCTGGATCCCTCCCCCTGATGCCCGCTGTTCTACACATTTAAGATGTCCCTCTGCTTCCACACCTGAATCAGATAGATAAATTACCTCCTCAGCATGCAGCCAGAGTCCTGCTGATGACCTATTTGGCTCATGTGTGTTGAAGCAGAGATGTTTCTAAAAGGTGCAGGACACCGAACCATGAGGATCAGGACTGAGGAACCCTGGTTTAACAGAACATTAACTGTAGATACTTAAACAAGATTATGTTTTTCCTCATTGAAGCTTGTATGCACATTTGCTAGAGAGGTTAAAGCTTGAATCTGATCGGTTACCTTATGAATTTTTTGCAGATATTTCAAATAATGCAATGATGGTTTAATATGCTTTATTTTCTCCTTTTTTCTGAAAACTAAATTCATAAAGCAATTAGATGTAAGCGAAGGAAGCTAGTCTGATCTCATACTTAGGAGTGGGATCCCCACCTGAATGCTTAGTGAAGTAAAGAAAAGAAAGTGATTTTCTTCATTCTATCCATCAATTCTCTGTCACGCTTTATCCCAGTTGGGGTTGCGAGGGGTGCTGGTGCCTATCTCCAGCTGTTGACAGGCGAGAGGCAGGGTACACCCTAGACAGGTCGCCTTTCCATCGCAGGGCAACACAGAGGCAAACAGGACAGACTGTTTTAGGACATGCACACTCGCACCTAAGGAGAATTTAGGGAAGCCAATTACCCTAACAGTCATGTTTTTAGACTGTGGGAAGAAGCCGGAGTACCCAGAGAGAACTCCACGCATGCACAGGGAGACCCTGGTCCAAGAATTTAACCCGGAACCTTGGTGCTGCTTGGTAGCAGTGCTACCCACTGTGCAGCCCCTGATTTATGAAAATTATTTTTTAGGGCTAGGGCAGGACATAAGGGCTGAAATGTAATTCTTGATATATTTCTTAATTGTGGTTGATACAATATTATTTTGATATTGATATAAACCATGCCCACGAGTTGCATTCTGTTCTGTTGTATCTTTTTTTGCCAATGCCTATTGCAAAATTATCTACACCATTTACCTACAGTGACTAAGAGTACTCATTGTTGTTCACCACACTTCTTCCATCTCATACACTATATTGCCAAAAGTATTTGCTCACCCATCCAAATTATTGGAATCAGGTGTTCCAATCACTTCCATGGCCACAGGTGTATAAATTCAAGCACCTAGGCATGCAGACTGTTTTTACAAACATTTGTGAAAGAATGGGTCGCTCTCAGGAGCTCAGTGAATTCCAGCGTGGAACTGTGATAGGATGCCACCTGTGCAACAAATCCAGTCGTGAAATTTCCTCGCTCCTAAATATTCCACAGTCAACTGTCAGCTGTATTATAAGAAAATGGAAGTGTTTGGGAACGACAGCAACTCAGCCACGAAGTGGTAGGCCACGTAAACTGACGGAGCGGGGTCAGCGGATGCTGACGCGCATAGTGCGAAGAGGTCGCCAACTTTCTGCAGAGTCAATCACTACAGACCTCCAAACTTAATGTGGCCTTCAGATTAGCTCAAGAACAGTGCGCAGAGAGCTTCATGGAATGGGTTTCCATGGTCGAGCAGCTGCATCCAAGCCATACATCACCAAGTGCAATGCAAAGCGTCGGATGCGGTGGTGTAAAGCACGCCGCCACTGGACTCTAGAGCAGTGGAGACGCGTTCTCTGGAGTGACGAATCGCGCTTCTCCATCTGGCAATCTGATGGACGGGTCTGGGTTTGGCGGTTGCCAGGAGAACGGTACTTGTCTGACTGCATTGTGCCAAGTGTAAAGTTTGGTGGAGGGGGGATTATGGTGTGGGGTTGTTTTTCAGGAGCTGGGCTTGGCCCCTTAGTTCCAGTGAAAGGAACTCTGAATGCTTCAGCATACCAAGACATTTTGGACAATTCCATGCTCCCAACTTTGTGGGAACAGTTTGGAGCTGGCCCCTTCCTCTTCCAACATGACTGTGCACCAGTGCACAAAGCAAGGTCCATAAAGACATGGATGACAGAGTCTGGTGTGGATGAACTTGACTGGCCTGCACAGAGTCCTGACCTCAACCCGATAGAACACCTTTGGGATGAATTAGAGCGGAGACTGAGAGCCAGGCCTTCTCGTCCAACATCAGTGTGCGACCTCACAAATGCGCTTCTGGAAGAATGGTCAAAAATTCCCATAAACACACTCCTAAACCTTGTGGACAGCCTTCCCAGAAGAGTTGAAGCTGTTCTAGCTGCAAAGGGTGGACCGACGTCATATTGAACCCTATGGATTAGGAACGGGATGTCACTTAAGCTCATATGTGAGTCAAGGCAGGTGAGCAAATACTTTTGGCAATATAGTGTATCTTTTTAAGAAAACTGGTGTTACCTTTTTCCTAAACAGTCTCATGCTTGGACGTTTCTTTATTTTAAACAATTTGTTCCATGCATGTACTTTTTTATGTTTGTGAAAGCATATATAGTTTTGAAATTTATATTTAACTAAAATAAAACCCTCCCCTTCTTTCCAGAAACAGTTTTTGTGTGCTGTCTGGTAGCTCAGTGAACGAATACAGTTGTTTTGGCTCCTAGATAAAAACAAGATCGCTTAGGTAGGTCATCTCTGACCACATCCTGCTGGGAAAGGTTGAGGCGAAGAAACTGTTTTCACACTCCCGTGTCATGACTTCTTCACAGGGGATGCAGTAGGATGATTTTAGCAGAGAGCAGAGTTAGTTTAGCCGTACAAGGTTAAGGCTTTTTTATGCTAAAATGTGATTGGCTCATAAATTGGATGGAACTATGCCCAAAAATCGCAAACCTTCTTAATACTCAACGTTTTTCTAATGGTCATTCCATGTGCATGGTTGTGGGCTTTTAAAAATGTCTCAGAATGAAGAATATATTTATGTAAAAACATTTGCTTTATGTTTTGCAGAGATGTTTGTGAAGAACGTCCTCACTGAGGTCAAAGGTAAAGCCAGCCTGGTGGCAACAGACCAGACAGGAAGCATCACGCTGGAGCGGCTGCTTCAGCTGTCCAGCCCAGAGCAGGTCGGCGAGGTGCTGGCTGAACTGGGGGGGGAATCGGGGTCTGGATTTAAGGAGGTTTCCTGCGATCGCTGTGGAGGCCACGTTGTGGAGAGCGCACTCAGACAGATGTCCAGATGGGAGGGTGAGTGGAATTAAACTCTTAATCAACTATTGTCTAAACATTTCTTTATCTCTTCTAAGACTTTAAGGTGAGTTAAGTTTGGTTATTTTTCAAATCCAAATTGACTTTCACTCCATTTGAAACCCAACAAATATAGAAGTCAGAGTGCATTTTTTGCTAGGATCCTTAACACGTTAAAATGTGTTTACATATAAATATAAACATGATTAAGTAAAACCCTTTGTTTACAATCTGTTTCCTTATTTTGTCTGTTTTTACAGAAATGAAAAGTAATGTCTTGAATTCTGAATGTTTGTTTTAGAGTTTTCACAGAAGGATCCATCCAAATCATCAGAAGATGCTGATGATGATGATGAGGAGGAGGAGAGTTCTGGGGTGTTGGAGACCCAGGTGTTGTTGTTAAGTCAGGCGGTCAGAGAAAACAGCGCAGAGTTCATCAGGCACATCCACGGGACGCACGTAGTCCGAACGCTCTTACACGTACTGGGGGGCTGCGTTGGACCGCCGCGCACTGAAACCCATCCAGGTAAGCACACTGACACGCCCAGAAACACCGAACCTGTTCCACGATCTGATTTCTGTACATCTTTGTCTTACTAATGTCGACTTTTCCTGGTAGGAACGAGAAAGATCAGAAAGCAATGTGATGTACTTAGTTTGTAGATTCAAATATTCTTTGCTCATTATAGTAAAATCATCTAATTCTTTGAGGATCTCTCTCCTGCATTTCACTCATGCTTCAGCAGTTAGATCTCAATGTGTTTTCTGCTGCTTTATTTTTAGGGTCTCTTGTAGAGCATTTGTATACTAGCCTGATAAACCAGACTAAATCTGCGATGAAATGTATAAATTAGTCTGGCCCTGATGAATGAGACATCGGAAGATTGTAGATGAGAACAACCCTTTGTTTTTCAAACCGATGTCTGTGCCTATTGGCCAACGCGCTGACCAATGAGCGCAACTGACTGTGACGTAGGAAGAGCGACAGAAAGCTGCCTGTCGGTAAAACTGCGAATACGTCCTTCTTAAAAATAAATGAGCGTAGAGCCTCTTCCTGCTCACATTTCAATGAAAACCCCAAGTCTACTCCTTCCCAAACTGATTCCAAAGCTGAGTCAAATGAGAACTGTTCAACAGATGGTGCCATCTTCCGTGTTTTGCTTTCTCCAGCGTTGCGCAGCTTTGTCATTACGCCCTCAAAACCCTGCGCTTCCCATTGATGACGGCTTCTTACTCTCCCTTACGAACTTTGAGCTGACTTTTCTCTAATATTTCATTGATATCACCTATTATGTAACCAAAAAAAGTATCAATATCAAATTTGTGAATAGGTTTACTCAGGATATCGATCAGCCATGCATATTTTTATTACTGATCACAGGAACCGATCACTTGTGTCCTTTACTTGGCAGCCTTCAGAGGCTCCGGCTGCAGCGTCTCTCTCTCTTTCCTTCTCACTGCGCAGCGAGGAAGCAAATCCTAAACATCATGTTGAACTTTGGTGCTTTGAGAGTGATATGAAGTTTGTGTCTAGCAATGGAAAAAAATAGTCGGAGATCAAGCACATCAAAATGCATCAGTACTTTGAATACAACGTGACATTTAAAAGAAAGCACCTGATGGAATATGATAAGTTATCAAGGCTTTTGCAATGAAAAAGGACATTAGGTAAAACAGAACACAATTATACTCTTCCTCCATGAGCATGATGGTCAGAAAGACATTACCTGCAAAATGATTTAATAATCAGGTTAAGGATCAGCAGTGAAAGACTTTGGGTTCCACCAACTGCTCTCACTAATGGGGCGTAAATATTTCAGAGATGCTGCGCCGTCCAAAATTCCAACAGAGAGTGGAGTCTCAGAACAAACGTCTCCTTAAAGCTGCAGGGTGTATCTTAAGTTTTGATATACGTATTAAAACTTTGTCCTAATATTATGCAGATAATCTGTGGGGGAGGAAATCAAGCTTCCTCCATTCTTTCCTATGTCCTGAAAAAAAACAACAAAACGTTCAGAGCCGGGAGGAGGGTTTTAACGCCTCAATGAATCTCTGACACAGTGCAGGAACCAGAACAGCAGAGTTTGAACATCCACTAAACAATCAGCCAGACTCTCTGGCAGTTTGGATTTAGTAACTTATGACTCTGAATGTTTCTTTATTTCTTGACATTATTTGAGATCCGCAGTTTTGTGATGTATATGAAAACAGTGTTAAATCAAACCTTTTAGCAGGTTTTTTATGCGTCCTTTTGACCTATGAAATACTATGTAATACTTGCTCCAGTGTGCAACCCCCCTTTTTTTTTTTTTTTTATGTTTTGTCTAAATTAGGGCATTTTTAGTATTTAATTTTGGCAGATAACATAGCCAAACCAGCCATGTGATCAGCCTTCTGGTCCATCGGCAAATCAGACCAAATATTTGAAATATTCTTTTTTACATATTGGTTCATTTCTCATTACAAGTCAAAAAAATAAAATAAAAATCCAACTCGCAGCAAAAGGTTAATGAAGGAAGCCTTGGTTATTACTTTTTAATTACTTTACAGTAAACACTTTCCTTCATCTTCAATCCTCAGTTGGTCGGCATCCGCAAATCATGATCGGCACATGTCTACATTTGGGTTGATTGTTTTTTTGTTTTTTTTTGTGGCATTGCAGGCTGCCTGGGTGAAGAGTATGTGATAGTAACTAATGTATCACATACATTTAGCACACTATTCATTTAGCTCACTAGTACCATGGGGAGCTACATGAACCAAAGTGAAGTTCCAAATAATGGGATGTTTTTTTTTACATTTTTTTTGACACAATACAGTTAAATTTGCATTTAAAAGAAAAAGGTAGTGGTTCTATTAAACCAATCTAGGAGCCATAAACGCATCAGTCCAATGAATTTCTTGCTGTTCTTTGCTGCAGTTCAAAAGCTCAACGTAGATGAAGCTGAAAATCCATTGATGTGGGTCACCAACAGATTTTTCTCAATCCGTTTCTAGTAATGATGCCGTTTCTTTTCATTATACTATTGGTTTTAGTTCAAAATGGACAAATTGAAAGAAAAGTGTTAATGTTGTTTGGTTAAAATGCAGAAAAAGAAATATTTCTGGATGAAAACAGGCTGAAATCCAAATTGATGGTAAAAAGTCAGACAGCAGAGTCAGACTAGAAATACAAAATGCTTTTACAAGGAACCATTTTTAAAAATATCAAAGCAGGAAAATGCTCTTACCCATGAACAAAGATATCATTGTTTTCCTGTTATTCTGTCCTCCAGGTGCTCCTCTTATTATACGCTCATACATCCCTACATGGGTTAAACTGTGCCAATTACTCAACAAGAAGTTTCTGTGCAGAGTGGCCATTCATGCCCTGACGAATAAAGATCTGTCTTTTCATGCTGATTCCTCTCAGCTGGTTTGATTGCCGCCGGGGGATAACGATGTCCCTCGGATGTGGAAGTCATGCTCAATAACTAAATCTGTCTGTAATGCCTGGGTTCCCATTTAAATTGGAGGGCTTTTGATGCAAATTGCAGCAATTGCTTGCTGGAGATTTAAAGTACTTTATTTGCCTCCATGAGGAAAACGAGGACAAGCTGATCGACTGACTGAAAAAACCCAGTATTTTTTTCACCTTCTCTAAAGAATGCAGAAAAGAATTAAAGCTTTTGATCCTTTTAGGAATATTTCCTAACTGCGTCAGGGCCTCTGTACCCTGGGGTGTGTTCATTTGAACTTTTATATTCACATCTTCATTTTTTTTTTGTTTTGATGTTCCGGTTTGAACCAGGTGGAAAAGAGCAGAGAGCCGCCCCTCAGCTGACAGACTTTGAGATTCCCACCTCATTCTGGTACGAGCTGAAGAGCCTCACCGAGACCCTGATGGAAAATATTAATCGTAAGCTGCCTTTCATCAGACCATCAGTTCTTTTTCTGGACACGCCTTTTTTTTTATGTTACTGGATTATACATAAGTACATTCTTTCTCTGTACTCTATCACAAAAAAAGATTAGAGGACGAATAGATTTCATGTTTCCAAAAAAAATAGTCTGAAAAATATTTGAGGAACTGTAGATAATTGGATTTTCTGCAAGTAATGATTGATAATTGAGCTCTTATACAAAAAACTCATGTTGCTGCGGGAAAGGAGATATTAAGATCAGATAGAAAAGAAGCAAAGAACATTTTTTTTAAGTTGCTACACTACATGAGTTGTTTTTTTTGTATAAACCAGCTATGTCCTCCAATGTTTGCCTCCATCATTTTGTTCCCTCCTCCCTGTTTTTTTTTATCTTTGTGATCAAAACATACAGTCTAGATTATTCATATAGATAAAACTATTCCACTTTATCAGTAAAACTGATTGAAGTCAATAACCCTCTGGATAAATGCACATGCAGAGGATTTTAATCTGCCTTTTAACTAAATCCTTACCATCTGGAAGAACTAGTATAAGAAGCCCTGCTGGTTTTGAGGTTGTTTTTTTCACTGCAATTCTGCATTTCTGTTTCTTTTAAATGACTGTTGAAAAACGCCTGCAGCTGTTGTCTTTGCCTTCCCACTAGTCTGTATTTTTTGCACTATGAAGTGTTATGGCTCCATTTTTTTCCAATACATACCATATATTGATGCTGCTCGGCCTTTTTCACATTTGTCACTAACTCGTGTATTTACTGGGATTTTATATAATAGGTCAGCAATATTGTGAAATGGAAGGAAGAGTATGAAAGAGGTTTCAAATCGTTTTATAGAAGTAGGACACAAGAAGTAGGCCTTTTTTTTATTCAGGCCTTAGAGCAGATTTAAAAAAAGAATGTTGATGATCAGTTTCAATTCTCTGATTTTCTTCAATGCTTTGATTTTGACTAGTCCATTATGTCCATCACATAATATGCTTCGATCTAAGCTACTTCATGTTAGCTCAGGATGTTTGTAAAGAGATTATGTCCTTGAAGATGAACCTTCAGACCAGTCTCCAATCTTTTGTTGCCTCTAACAGGTTTTCTTCCTGGTTTGCTCAGTCTGTAGCTAGCTCCAGCTTCCCTGAATGTTGGTGAAGAAACAGATCCCCATAGGATGATGCTGCCACTTCACTTTCATATTGGGGATGCTGGGTTTAGCGGGGCTTTCAGTAGTCTAATATATATAGTGTTTTACATGTGGATCACAAAGTTTGATCTGTTCCCATCAGATCAGACCTCCCTATTCAATATGATTAGTAGATCTTATTTATTTAGGGCTTTGTTCCTGATGCTAAATAGAAATGCATCCCATATGATTTTACTTCCACTTTACATTTGCCAAAAACCCAGATGAAATGCAGAGTTCTGGGGAGCATGAAATGTAAAAAGGTTCAGGAGGTATGTGTTTTAACGCTACCTTTTTTCCCCCCTTCAGTGAGTGTTACGGACGCCATTTCCAGCACAGTTTTCCAGACCATGTTGACCGTGTGTCACAGAAAACGGCCTAAACTCTGCAAGCAGCTTCTGAAGCGCACCATGGAGTACCTAACGAGCCGCAGCTCTGCCCCTGGGGTCAGGTTAGAGACGTTTTCCCTTAACTTCTAAGAATCGGTTATTGTAGAAGTGTTATGACTAAGAACACCATCATTTTTGTTTTTTCCTACAGTCCACTGCTGGTCTTCCTGAAGGACCAGGCCTCCAGTCGCCTCATAGAAACAATTATTCAGCTAGCTCACTTATCTCTACTCCGTGATCTCTATAAGAACCACCTGAAGGGTAGTTTGGTTGACCTTGCCCTTCACCCAATCGCCAACTTCCCCATCCAGAGGCTGACAGCAGCTTCAGCCAAATATAAACTGGTGAGTGACGTCTTGTGATTGAGCACGGACTTTACTGTTAAAAAATGAATTGATCTCATTCCTGCTCCTGCAGTTCCTGAAGCTGTTTAACGAGATGATCCAGGGCATGGAGGCCGTCTTGGCTGCGGGTCACATGGGCGTGATTGTCCAGTTAGCAGAAAGCTGCGCAGAAAGTGGAGAAAGGCAGGATGAAATGATGCGGTGCCTTCTGAATGTAAGCTTTAAATAGGTGCTTTCCTCAGTAGCTGTTTTTTAAGTGCCTCTCCATCCTTGTCACTGAACTCAAGGACTTAAAATTAGCTCTGTGCTGTTTCCCCTCAGGCCTTCCACTGCGCTGAGCCGGGCTCTCGACATGTCTGCTGCCTGCCACTTTTTATGTCTTTGCTCACCTATGAGGTGTATTACCAGTCTGATACAACAGAGGGCAGCACACAGAAAGAGGTAAACTGCAAACCCCTTAAATTACTTCTCTTTATTTGGTTAGTTTACTGCCTTTAATTATTTCCAAAGCTTTAAATTCCCTTTTTACATTTCAGCATCCCTTATTATTAGAACAGTTATTGACTCAGTTTAAAATACTGCAAATATGATTCATACATTTAGATTTATAATCCATTTAATATTAAACAAACTCTTATTTGACCTGCTTTATTATTATTATTAATTCTGTGAATTCGTTTCGATTTATTTGCTGTTCTTTTTCAAAAACTTAGAACTTGCATATTTTAGTTTGTATGCATATTCAGCGCTGCATCAGGTTGGTTGAACAGTTTTTCTTCTTCTCTTGCTGCTTTTAGGTTCCACTGACCTCCATCTGTTACCATGGCTCCCGGCTGGTCCAAGCACTGGCCAAGTTTAAGGAGCGCTCACACCTTCTCAGCAGCCTGCGCACTCTGAGCCCCTCTGACCTCCTCACTATGGCCTGCAACCCCTTCGGTAGCCATGTCCTGCAGGCCCTCATCACCACATCCAGTGACAAAGGCAGGGGCAAGATCCTCAAGAGACTGGAGGTACAGGATAATTACAGACTTTATAGGGTTTTTGTATGTGGGGTCAAAAAATGTGACCCATTAAACCTAGTTTCCTTTCACAGGGCCAGTATCTGCAGATGGCCTGCTCCAAAGTAGGCAGTCGAATGCTTGAAGCCGTGTGGAACTGTGCTTCTCTCAGCCAGAGACAAAGCATCGCTCAGGAACTTGGTAACTTTGACAGTTTTTATTCTCATGAGTTTCTTTTTGGGGCCTATTTCTTTCTTAACATAAACTTTTTCTTTCCTTTCTTCTCTTTTAGTCTCCAGTGAAAGTAAACTGCGGTCGGATCAGTTTGCTCGTCATATTTGGGCAAAGTTTGCCCTCTCCCATTTTGCACACAGGAGAGCCCACTGGCAAGAAATCCAGACAGGAGAGTCCAAGAAACGGAAGCTTTTCTGTGACTTTCTTGAATAAAAATAAAATAACCTTCAGATTGGTTTGCTTGATTAATAAAAATATATTTGGACTTATTTTCTGTTTTTACATTTTTTAATGTTGTGCAGGAAGGGATATGACCTGTAGGGGGAACTAAAGGTACAAGTATCCTGAGGTTGTCAACCTCAAAACTGTCAAACATAAGTTCCTAAAGTAGACCCAAACACAGGACTCACACTTGATCAGTTTCTAAATTTAGTTTTAAATATACAGTTTGTTGTTTTTTGACTAAGGGAAAGTCTTTGATTCCGTATCCCCATGGGTTTGTAACAAAAATATATAAAAACAAGGCATTTATTAAATAAATATCAGTGATCATAATGATTAAAAAAGTTTTAAACCTTTTATTTGATTGCATTTTATTAGGGTTTTGATTAGAGGTAGAACATATTTTTTTCCATATGCCCTTTAAGTATAGGCTGTGTAGCTGAAGGTACAGCATGCATTTTTATTTTTTTTTTTTTGTCAAATAACCCAAGCTGGATCAATTGTAAATATTAATTATCAGCTTTTGCACATATTTTTCTTTTTTTTCTCCCCCACACTTTTTGTGCACATTGTCCATGATTTATAGAAAAATGCTTACAGATACTCAGTTTTTTCATTCTATATAGGTCAGATTCTCGGAGGACGCAACTCATATTCCACAAATTTTGTAACTTAAGTACCAAGTTACCAACTCATGCCTGTATTTTTCTTTTTTAAAAACATTTATTTCCTGGCCTTTAAGTTCTTGTTGAGGTCTCTGTTAGTTTTCCATTTTTGGACAATGGATTATATAGTTTCTTTAGAAATGTTCAAAGGTTTGGTTAGGCGGGTATTTTTAAACCCCTCATACATCATAGTTATGCACATATAGGAGAGAACTGCATAAGGGTCACAGCCTTTAATGAGGTTGCATCTTGTGTCTGCATACCATAATAATCATCTGGCCCTTTAGCTTTCCCATCGCATTTTTGTTTTCTCCAGACCAAGTTTAATTACACATCCCTGCCCCTGTCGGTAATAGTCTGGCTCCTTTGCTCTTCCTTATGATCTTTGTTATAAAAGTGTGTGCATGTAATTGTCTCTCTGCACACATTAAACCAGAGGATTAATGACCTTTGGGCTAAAATGAGCCATGGCTCCTTGAAACCAGAATCAGATGGATCCTCCTGAGATCCTCTGTCGCTTCCCCTTCTGGGGTCACACGGTGTGCAGCAATGTCTGTTTTCTTCACAAACTGCTTTTTTATCAGTAGGTATTACTTCCATCTCTGCACCCAGAGGAAAAAATACAGATCTCATTAGCTATGCAAAATGTTTGAGAAAAATAGGCTTTCTTTATTGGAAACTGAAGTGGAACTTCAACAAGCTTCCAGTGATACTCAGTGGGTGGCTTTGAGTCTTCTGAGCTCCCTCTGCCTCCCCTATCTTGAATGAAGTGTTCATTTTGCCCAAGAACCACAGAAAATGCCCACTGAATGAGTCAGCACCAGGGAAACACAAAGAGGGAGGATATCTGTCACCGTTTGAAACGCCTATAGGGTGGCACAGAAACAAATTCTGTCATATCTTCCCCCTTCCCCTCCTCTTTCCCTCCCGGGGTTGTTGGCAAGGCTGTTATCTGACAGTTTTCTGACCTGTTTAAATGTGACAAGAACCTTTGTTTCATTCTTTTCCTTCTAGCAGAATAACTGTATGACTTCATCACATTGAGGATGAGGAGTCCTCCTCTGTTTGACCTTATTGCTGTCAATCCCCTGCTCCTGTGGTGAGGAGGCGGAAAAAGCTAAATCAGACCTAACAAACCTCTTCCTTCTAAATATCAAAATAAATGTAGGACATTTTGGATGCCAAAGGACTTACAGTCTCCTTGACAACGGTATCCAAGCAACCGTTACTCCCTCCCTTCAACCCCTCTGCTTCTTTGCCAGTTTGACTTCTTCTCAAGAGTTCTTTAATGCATCCACTCCAGATAGTTATCACTCTAGACTCTGAACCTGAGAGCTGCTTAAGTCTGATGGGATCTTATAAAAGGCTGCATGCTGCTTACTTGCAACTGTTTAAAACCTAAAGACTAAATGTGCAGCCTGATAGGGATATTTCCTGGTATTATTTTCTATAATATGCATTTAATATCTTCTCGATCTAAATGAAATGTGTTTTGTTGTTTTGTATTTAAAAGAGTGGCAGGACACAATTTATGCTCTGAACCCTAAGTGGTGATTATGTAAAAAGAACCAGCATTTATTATGAATCTGAATCTTAAGCCATAAATAATCCATTGGCCTAAGTTTAATTTTGGAGCCGTTTCACGTAAACAAAGTTATTTTTAGCTGTACTGTTCTGTTTTTTTTCCCCCCTTAGAGGTAGAAAGCAATACCCCAAACAGCACACCTCACAGCTGTGATTTGTCTTAAAATCAAGACTAGGCAGCATACAGGTTTAGGTGGAAAAAACCTTTTAACTTCTTCTTAGATTTATATTTTTGTTAGTTTTCAGTTTCATGAAAGCATCTAAATCAATATCTTAATGAGTAAATAAAACATGGTGAGGATATGCTGCATAATGGTTAAATGAAAGGAAAGGAAAACAATACATTGTTTTAGAGGAATTTAACAAATGGAAAAAAAAAAAAAAAAAAACGGCATGTACTAAAAACACCCAATGCTTTACTGCTGTAAAGCAATTTATATTGTATCTCGACCAGCTTGTGCATCCAGAACCTATTAAAAAGTCTCAACTTCTTCTTGCACGTTTTCTCTGGATTTGTCTCCTTCCACCGACCTTGAACAGTTCCTGCGGAAGAAAAGCATCTCCCCAACATACAGTAATGATGCTGCAACATCGTTTCCCACAGTGAAGGTAATTTTCCAGTACATATGGATTTATGTTAGCTTTCCTATTGACAGTTTCTACTTTCTGAGATGTGCATCTTTGTAGCTCCTCCAGTGAGATATTCCATAAAAAAAGAAAATTAAAAAACAATCCCCTGGACTTTGTTTCCAAGTTTGGAGACGTTTCGCTTCCCATCCAGGAAGATTTTTCAATTCATATGTCTGGAATGGTGTTGAGTTCAAGGTTTTATACAGTAGCCCAACAAAGCCTTGTTTTTGTTTGGAAAAAAAGGGATTTGGAGCAGACGATACCCCATACCGATCTAAGTGTCTGAAAGGTCGATCATTAAAGGGGTTTGGTGTTTTTTATTTTATTTTTTTTTTTGGAATTACTATGACCTGGATGACTGAGAACCTTCACCAGCTCCAGTGAGATATTTGCTTACTGTTTTATAATTTTACTCAACATGAAACCTCTACCCAGCCTTCTCCATGACCCATCTTGTCTTCCTTTTTCATCATTATGTGATTTTCCTTGAAATGTTCTAACAGACTAACTGGCTTTATGCTGCGATTGAAGTACACAAAAATGATCTGCTTCCAGTTAGAAGAGGGCTGTTTGAAAATGCAGGCCATATAGTTTTTATTCCATTGGGGGGAAAAAAGAAGAAAGGAAAATATGTCTCCCTTCTGCTCCACATTCAAAAACAATCACAATAAAATACTATCTGTGCCTTTATTATGGCAGCATGAAATGGATGTTTCTGTAAGGCACTGTTCCTTGGTGGGTCACTGTCTGATGAATCAATCTCCCTTTACCTTGCTTCAGTAATTCAGTTTCCAATATCCAGCTCTCCCAATAGCATACTGAAGAAGTAACACAAGGGAAGCAATTAATATTATTTCCTCACTCCCAGCATTAAATGTGGTCAGGTTTAGAATTCAACACCGATTTTAGGATACCAGAGTTGCTCAAGTTGAATATTCTTAATTCCTCACCTTTTGTAATGCTTTTAAATTTAAAGCCTCTTTGGAAAAAGGATGCATAAAATTAATAATCAAAAGCAAATTGCATACATTTTGGGATGTTCAATAAAATGGCAGCAAAAAATGTAAAAGTATGAGAAGAGAACATCTTGGTGAAGTTACAAACATGCAGAAAACTACAAATCTTCTGACATAGCCGGTCTGAAATAAATAAATGAAAAGGATATATTCAAAGACTCTTCATTTAGGTAATACAAATGGGATATTACAAGGCACAACTCACTGACCGTATATAACTGTATTTTTGTACAATGAGGGTTGGGATGATGTGTGAACCTGCGGGGGGCCAGCAGTGTTTGGGTTCATGGAATTGTCCAGGAAGATCTATGTGCAGCTGGCAGTGGGCTAACTTCGCTTGGGTGGCCTTAGTTTTCCTAGATGGCTCCCACCGGGAGAAGCAGCCATACTCTGGCCCCCCGGGATATTTAGGGGTCTCTGGGGGATCATCATCCATGGTCGCTGCTTTAGTAAAGTGGGTGCAGTCGGGAGCCAGCTGGAAAATTGCACCCCTGGGGGATTTGTGCTGGTTCCTTTGAAATCATTCCCTTCTCTTTGAGTTATGTAGCGCAGCATCAGTGGGGTTTCAGGGTGTTGGATGATGGACGTTGCAGGAATGAGGACACTGTGCATGAGTAACATGGACCATAAAGTTCAGCTATTTACTAAGTGTTCAGTCTTTATGTCAACAATCCTCAGCATTATGGTTCATTAAAGTTTTAGTAAATACAATAACATGAATTGATGTTAAACATAGGTAGCATTCTGAAATTAAACAATTTGGCAAAAAGTGTTGTGGTCATTGTAGAGCTTCTAAACATGGACTTGCGTGACCCTCCTGCTCCTTTACCTCAGGATGTTCTCATTTTTCAATCATACCATAAAGGGTTTGAATTCATCCTCCTTAATTGGATAATTGTCTTGACCCTCAGCCATATATCATCAGCTTTCCCCCCATTTTTAAATCTATATTTCCCCACTGTTTATAGACAGGGTCTGCATGCAGAGGTGGTTAGTTAATAGTTGCATTTACTCAGTTACATAAACTGGGGTAACTTTTTGAAAGTTTTCCACCATTGTACTTTTACATGAGTAAAAATTTGAAAAGTATCATTACTAGTACTTGACAAATTTTTTTTGGCTACTCTATTCATTATGAGCAACTTCACTTATAGAAAACAAACTTGTTTTAAACAAACACTTTGTTTTTGTATTCAATGCCTGTGTCATCTGGGTCATGGCAATCACAATACAGACTTTAATTGGAAGGCAACCAGACCTGCTCAGCTTTTTTGAAGACCTTTCCACACCTATCCAGGACAAAGACTCCTAGATGGGTGTTGAGACATCTTCAGAAAAACTAAGCAAAAGTCTGGTAGCCTTCCAATCTAAGCCCGTTATGTGGTTATTGATTAAATGTTATTTTCCATCCGCTGAGTCTGCTGTGTCATTTGGAGGGTTGAGTAGAAATGCAGCAAACAGTAGACCGTGATTTAACCTACCTACTCTTACACACTTTCGTACATTTTATAACTCAAGAACTGTATTTTGAAGAGTGGATTATTTATGGTCTAATAACTGTACTTTAGTTTGTTTCTACCTTAATCTTTGAAAAAGCATAATGTTATTTATTTTGTTCAATTTTACATCATTGCGTAAAATATTACGCAATAATGTAAAATTATAGGTAGTAAGTAGATCACTTACTCAGTTCTTAAGCAAATACTTTACACAAAACTTTTATACTCTTACTTGAGTAATTCTTTAAAGGTTACTATACGTAAAAAAATATGATGAAGTAATGCTACTCTTACTTACGTACATTTTTGGGGTATTCCACCCACCTCTGTCTGCATGACCAAAGGCAGCTTTAAAATGGCAAAGATATGCTTTAATGTTGTTCTTGCTCCAATAAGAAATCAGCTGGAGCTTAGAGCCTCAAATAAGATGCTGACTGTTGATAACATTGTAATAAAATTCTTTAAAAAAAAAATTCTCGATATATACTATTTAATGACCTGTGAGGAAAGCTTGGAGGAAGCTGAAGTTCTGAGTTACTTGACGTTAACTTAGTAAGACAGTGTGGCCAGCTGAGCAACTCTGCCCAAGGCTTTCTTGTCATTTCATCTATACCTGCAGGGCATGAAAATAGCTTCAAGTAGGCCAGTATTGGTTCCTTTCACATATTGGCTGTCTGACTCAAAACTTGTGTGGTTGTAGTTGATCCTCTGCCCTGTAGCCTCAGAGTATAATGGTTCTATAAGTTAAGTTTAAGTTCCTACATTAAGTATTTAAGCATATACTGTGAGAAATTGTAAAGAATACCTTAAAGACACAGCAAGTTCAGAAAATAGCAAATATATGATATTTACACTATAATTATTAAAATCCTTATCCTATGGGACAGATATATGTTTATATTCCGTGTTAAAGGAATCATATTGCTTGAGCTCAAAATTCATTCATGTTTTGCTCTGATATTTTTTTTATAAAAACCTCGTGGTACATCATAATCATGAAGCACAATTCAGATAATAGTTCTGAAAAGGTTTAAAAGTGAGCATTTCAAAAGGGAATAGTACTTTATGCCTGTTTTATACTTAATGTCTGTAAGCTGTGAGTGTCAGTAAAGGTCAGTAAAGCTGCTTCTGATTCCACATAAAATCCAATCCAGGCCCATGTTTTCATTTAACTCTTAAACATGTAAGTCATTTCATCTCAGCAAAAATCAACATGTAAAGGTCTTGCAAGAGAAGAAATAGTTTCACGAAAATCAAAGAACACCAAGCAGTAATATCATAAGCTTTGACGTCTCATAGACACCTTATCTAAAAATGGAAAGAATATATAACTACTTCAAACCTACTGAGATGTAAACAGCTGGTCTTAATGGATCAACAAATACAGTAGAAAATAAATCAGAGAATCGATCAAGGGGCACATTAAAACTCTGGAAGTGCTATAGAGATCCACAGCACAGTGTGTGGAAGAGGCTTTTCTTGATAGAGTGGCTAAAGAAAGTCAGGAGGTCCTATTGGTAGTTTGCTGCAATCCATGCAGGGAAAACAGTAAGCATGTAGATGAAGGTGTTCTAATAAAAAGAAATGAAAATGTACATGTTCTGGTCTTCCTGGCAAGTGCTTGGTGTGGCAGAACTTATTAGTGCATATCACCGCTATGCTCAAACATGGTGCAGCATCATGCTATGGAGGCAGAAGAGATAAGAAAGCTTGTCATTAGTGATAACAGCTTATTAAACTGCAATGCTGAAAAAAAAACAATATTTTAAGGTAAGACAAACAACAATACAAGTCAACTTAGGACAGTGGAAGTGGACAGTGGTATCTTCCAGTAGAGCAGCTTGAAAATACAACCAGAGCTAACAGCATGTTCCAGTTAGAGACCAGATCTAAATCTAACTGAGAAGTTGTGATAATGAATGTTCAGATGCTGTCCATGCTCTGAGATATTTTGCAAATAGGACTGGGCAAAGACTGGAACTTTCTCTAGTTTCTAGTTTTAAAATGTATCTTTTTTTTTTTCTTACTTCAGAACAATGCATGTCTTTGTGTATGCTACATAAAACCCCAGAACATACAATCAAGCTTGTGTTCATAACCTGAACATTAAATGCTTATACATTACTTTGTAAGCCACTTCAAATTATAGCTGTCATAGTTACTCTGTGAGTTTTGTTAGGACTTATAAACAATATATACAATATGGGGACTTTGGACATTTTTGTCATAGAATGTTAAAATACTGGGAGAGAAAAAAAATCTTTAACCTTAAAAATCAGCTGCAGGCTTGCATTTGTAGTTTTATAAGGCCAGCCTCTTGAGGAAAAGGTCGAGAATCTAAACAAAGTTGATGAAGTGTCTTCTGGCAATACTGATTTTCACATATGAATGGGTTATTTATTTATTGCAGAGCTTACCTTGGAGCCAGGGTAAATGTATTTATATTTTCCACTAAATTGGTAAACTTCAAAGCAAACAAAAATATTCCAACTGTAGTGTTGACACTGCATCTTTTTGCTGCTCTGCCCTAAATAAGGGTGGGGGTAATGTGAAGCTCAATTAGTTGCACGAAAATTCCCTGCAATGCTATTCTGTCAACTGGTAAATGCCTGCCTGGTACAGCTTTGGATTCATAAATGCTTAGTTTGAAAATATCACAGAAAAACACATAAAGATGTCAAATCAAACCATATTTATTCCCAGCGGAGAGGATGAGAGTGCTCAGTGGACACTGACAAATGAGCGAGGATGTGCATGAAGTCTACGTATAGTGACGCTTGAGGAAATATCCAAGTTTCCATTTTCAATGGGTAAATTGAAAAAATGCAATAAAGTAGAGAACATCAAAGAGCCACAGGTAGATTCGTTTTTTTCTTGTTTGTCCTCCCGCGCTCCTAGAACCTCCCTGTTGTCTGTGACTCAGCGTCATCTGAAGAGTACAGTCCTGCCTTATTAGCCGTTGCAGTTTCTATCGTCGTTCGCCTCACATTCTGCGGTAAAGGGTTTCCTGTGCTGACTGCCCATGGTGCATTCAGCAACAATATGGCTTGGGTGCTGATGATGATAGTATAAAAGTCTGAGACGAACACACTGATTGCCGCTGCTTTTGTTAGTAACAAACAATCTTTGAATGCAGTATGGACAAAAATGGTGTTGCAGTATGGACACATACTAATAATCATGTCTCTGGGTTGGCATTGTTTGAAACTCTACTGGGATTGTGCATTTGCTATTGAGGTACTTTAAAGTCATTGGGTCGCTGTAAAATCTATAAGAGTTTCTGCTAATTTGCATGCTATAAAACATGGTTTAAAACATTTATACATAGTAAAATCCTCTAAGTCTCTACAATAGTACGTGCTACCTGGATGTGTGTTTATTTTTGATGCTATTCATCCATCCGTCAATCTCATTAAGCTTTAAATCAGCACCTTGATTCCACTGCTGATTTTCTTTCTCCCAATCTCTTCAGGTAATGAGTGCTTGCTGATTCACCAAAGCTTGAGCTGAAAGGCAGTCCACCCCCTTATCCAGTGTCCCAAAAATTGCCTCCACTGATGGCTTTACTGCAATCCAGACTGTCTGCTGTAATCAGTCACCTGTTTTTTTTTTTTATGACATTCTCATGTTCCACCCTCTAATCATACCTCCTACACCTCAGATTTCTTCCTCGTTGAGTCTCATGTTTCTTCAATCTTCAACTCTCCCCCCAAACCATTCCGTTTATTATTTTGTGTTATTGTTGAGTGTGTTTCTTTCCCATTTGTTTCCATATGTCACAGTGCACTGAGGTCATGACAGGAACGGGATTTCTGCCGAAAGATTTTGCTGCCCCGGTGGCGGCTCATTTCTCTATAGCGGCCGCGGTCCCGGTCTCGGCCGTACGAGCGAGGCACCAGCCCTGCCAGGAAACGCTTGGCACGGCTCGTCAGGCTCTCCCGTCGTCCAGCTGCCGGGTCACCATCTGTCCATCCGGGTCCCACGCAGTCCCCTCTCGCAGTCCGCACCGCCGCCTCCAGCAGCTCATTCGTGCCGTGTTCTAAAGAGGCAGAGAGCTCCAAGTAGACGCAGTCAAACATCATGGCACTGGATTGGGCCTCTGGAGGAAAAGAAAAGGAAGATCTGTTTTTAGAAACCTGTTTCTCATTATAAACAGAGCTTCTGTAGGAGCTTCAGTTACATAGATATTAAAGGCAGCAGTCGGAATCTCACAAACATTAATTGCTATACCAATGTTCCACCCTGCTGTCTGATATGCATTACTACTTTATAACACCTTTAGATGGCATGCTTACAAAACACCATCTTCTAAACATCTGGCACCTTTGTCAGAGCACACTGTAATAAATTCAATTCCATCCAGGAAGAAAAGCGATTTATAATTGTTAACCCCTTGGTGCCCATTGTTACAAATATGCAACCAACCCTTTACATTACCCTCACAGCCAGGTTAACATGTACATTCCCCCAGTGCCAGATATTGCACATTCAGTGTGGACCTAGGAACCTTTGGCAAGCACTTTTTTTCAAGTACAACTGGTCCCTAACAATAACCATTGTAATTGTTGACTTGCCACACATTTTTAATATACATTGGAAATAGAAAGTTTAGAAATGTAAATTTGGCAACTATTTAAGGGCAAAAATATTATATGCATATTTATCAAAATTTTAGACAAACACATAATTCAATCTACTGCAAGTTAGATTCTTTATCCCTGTTTTTGTGATTGATATATATCCTTCCATCTTTATCTGTCTGTATCTCTATAACCCAAAGCCTGTGACTATCAGCACAGAGAGAAAAAAACAGGCAGTATTGCACAGGGTTAATGGTGCCTGTAGCTGTGTTTTTATAAGGTAAAAATCTATTTTTTGTACCACACATAGAGAAAAATGGTTTCTCTCTAAATGCTGATGCTGGTGGATAAGAACAGGTGACAGCGTGTTTTGTTGACAATGCCCTGTATGTGAGCTGAAAGTGCTTTTTTGTGCCTGGTCAAACAAACCATGATGATAAGGTAAGCTGACATATACGGATCATCCAGCAACAAATGGGCTTCATTGTCACGACAAATGACTGTTTTTTTTTTCTGTTTGCTTCAGCTTTCGAGTTCACCATATCTCCTAACAGAGATAAAACCTGAGAGCTGGTTTCTACCGAGTAACATTAATAAAGCGGTTTTCCCTTTCATAATAACTCTGTGGTATATGTAGGAATGTAAGAGGACTACACGTTTGGTGGCAGATGGAACAGGTCAGCCCTAGATGAACTGTAAGTGGGTGTTATAGAGAGCATTTTTTAATATAAGTCTCTAAAGCACTCAAAATGGGATGAAACCAGAACAAAAAAGGGAAATATGTTAAAATAAGATAAGTATTTAAAAGCATTGATCATTAGTAGCAGGAAAAAAATAAAATAAAAATACTGCACCAGTAACACTCAGTACTTCTAAAATGTCCATTAGCTCACGGTTACTACTTATCCATTGCCAGTGTCATAATGGAAGATGAAACAACTACTTTCTTTTAGAAAAAGAAGTGTAATTTGCAAAACTGGTATAGTGTACCCTGTAAATCTATTTTCTATTCCAAAAACTTTTATGTAGTTGAATTACTCAAAATAAATGTATATAAGCATCTGAAAATTTACTGTAAAACAATAATTGCTGAATATGTTGTTAAACAGAATTGCCATAACCACACGTAGTGCAGCAATAAACGAAACATGCTAATGGCTTTAAAACACTGGGATTAAAAGTTGGATACTAATTTTTATGCAAAACAGGACAGGTCCTTGTGAAACTCTTTTAAAAAATTAACATGACTAGAACAAAATACAGTCAAGGCAACATTAGCAGGTGAGAAAAGTATAGCTAGAGGGAAAAAGGGTTCTTCTCTCAAAGACGTGATCGTAGCTGCTCTATGGTGATCTGGCAGTTCACATCCACCTGTAACCAAACAATTTGTGCTTCATGCTAACTTTATAAGTTTACAAACCCCTAAGGATACTTGACCAATGTTCATATATTATTATAATTAAAACATTCAATCATAATTTAAACCAGAGCCTACCAAATAATGTATAATTAAGTCTAACAACTTGCTTCTTTCACCAGTTTTCTTCAGAGATATGGTGCCAAATACACAATACAAATATGACGCAACACAACGTGAGGAGATTGGCGTGAGAGGCTAAGAATAGAGCCGTTTCTCCTCCACATCGAGATGAGTCAGATGAGGTGGTTTAGACATCTGCTTCGGATGCCCCCTGGACGCCTCCGGTGGGAGGTATTCCAGGCAGGTCACCCTGGGAGGGGATGGCCTAGCACAGGCTGAATGGACTGCCTGAATGGAAGGCAGTGGTAATGCATTCATTACAAATGCATCCACAAATGTGTCAATACATCCACATATTGACTGATACAATACAACATAAAAAGGTAATATTGGCCGAAAATATCAGTCAACAAATGTATCTGTCTATCTCTACTAGTTACTTCCTACCGCTGCTGAGAACAGGCTGTGAAAAAAATTACAACCCTCTGAAAAGAAAATAATGCTTTTCAACTCATTTTGGCTTATGACATTCTTCAGGGCCGCAAACTCATCTTCCCTTAATGATTGTTCCAAGTAGTGCTGAAGTTTTCCCCTGACAAACCCTCTGAACTATGAAAGCCCAACAAGGGAAATAGTTAAAAAAATAGTTTTTAAGAAAATTTGATCTTCATAAGCATAAATTTTTATTGATTGAAAAAAGCATTTTATTGATTTTAAGTGTGTCTGCAAATATTGTTCCCCCTTTGGAGCTTAAATGATAATATAAAATGTATCTATAACTGTTATTTTATTGTTGCTGGAAGCTCCAAGCAGAGGTTATTGATATTTTGAAGCCATAAAGGCAAACAAAGCAGCACATTCTGATTCTATATACAATAAACAGGGTCCATGGCCTGCAGCTGAGAGATTGGGAAGCTGCCAGAGTGAGAATTCACAGTTTGAAAAAAAATCTTGGATAGAGAGGAGTAGCAGCAGTGCTGTTAGCCAGGGACTGTACCAAATGACTGAAAGCTAAAACTAGACACACAAACCCCACCAATTGGCTGAAAACACAAAAATAACCCCTGCTTCATGGCACAGTTCTTTGCAGTTGAAAAGCTCTGGTTTTGAGTCTCACTTCCCTCCTGGAAATGTTTACATGTTGATTCCCCCCTCTGCCCTCTGGTATTCAGCTCCTAGTTTTTTGTGGATCCTTGATTAGTGTATGAACATTTGTAAATTTGTAAATGTGATGAGGTGAATCCGTATCTAGTTACCACCGCAGCTCTTAATGCTCCATTCCTTTTTTTCTGAAATCTGATTTATTTGTGGGGCTGTTTAAATTACCATCAAAATGAAGCCCATATCTGACTCTGGTGTGAACAGTTTGCCGTTGTAAACTGACCCGCATGCACAAAAGAACACTAACAATATCATAAAATAAATGTTTTGCTGCAGTTTTAAGTATTCAAATAAAGCCATTCACTCTGTCAGGAACTGCTTTAGGGAAATCCTTTGGGGAAAATCTGCACATAAAAATCCTGTATTCAGCTATTTGAAAGAGCTTTGGCTGCCAGCTTTGTTGTTTGAATGAGGTAGCAACTTCAGAGAGACTGATCTCTCTCAGAAATGTAGGATGTCCGAGGAAACTTTTAATGATACAATCACCGCCTCTTCTCTAGACTCCTAAGGCAGAAAATGTGTTCCTTAGTTGTTCAAACTGCAGTCATATTCAAACAGATCAGATGTGGATCGGATTCAGGATGACATATGGTTTGTCCTTAAATTGTGACTTGAAATGGTCAGATTTGGGGCCAGATGTAAACATCCCTAATCGTTCTACAGAGTTTCACCTGGTCAAGTGAACCTTTTTGGTTACATTTACTGACAGTGGGAACTAGGTGTTTGGCTAACTAGAAAAGCGCCACATAAATCTAGTTAGCATTTATCTACAACCCTTACTCTTACTAGTTGTCTTCCGCTTCATCCGGGACCGGGTTGTGGGGGCTGCAGTTTAGCAGATACCGCAGACATCTACTCCATCTCAGCTGGGGGAAGCCCAAGGTGTCTCCAGGCCAGCAGAGAGACTTAGTCCCACCAGTGTGTCCTGGGTCACTCTTTGGGGCCTCCTACCAGTGGGACCTGCCTCGAACACCTCCCTTTGGAAGCATCCGGGGGGGGGCGGCAAAAAAGATCTCCAGGCCACCTCAGCTGACACCTCTCAACTCCTCTCATCTTCAGCATCAAAGTTAAAGACAAAAGCCTATCCAGTTGTGTTCAAGGACCAAGGTTTTAAATATTTGAAACCATTAAATGCATATGGATTGTCCATATATCTATCTTCTGCTACTTATCCATCAGGGTCATGGGGGGCTGCTGACTATCTACAGCAGTCTATGGGCAAAAGGCAAGGTACATCCTGGACAGGTGGCAAGTCCAATGCAGGACAATACATATACATACACCTAAGGGTAATTGAGAGACAACAGTCCATGTAAGAGTCTTTTGGACTAGGGGAGAAGCCACAGTACGCAAAGAAAACCAAAGCATGCAGGGGGCATGACCAGAGTGCTATAAACTACACCACCCTGTAGCCATGAACTTGTAACATGAATATAAAATCTATTAAATATTTTATAAATATTAGAGAAACTAAACAACCTCTCCACAGATTAGTGGCTAAACTCCCCATGTGAAGAGTCAGCTGCTCATCTACACTTAATGATATGCAATACTTATTTGAGGAAGAAAATGCTGATATATTGTTAACAGGGAAGACCAGTTAGGAGAGTAAAATAATCAATTTTAATCAAACATGATAAAACAACAAAAAACAAAACATCAATTCTGAAATGGAGGGCTTAGATTTCAGCCTCTAAGACCATCTGGTTATGCAAGACACCAGATGCCCAGTAAGTTTCAAACCAATTTAGACTTTCCTGCATGTAAAAATTAAATCTGTGAACCTGACTACATGTACCTTATTTATAGGGGAGTCCAATCTGCAGGTAAATCTAGATCTACAAAAGGACAACTTAAGACAACGCAAAAGCCTGGAAC